TCGCGAGCCTCTCTCCAAGTGTACCGCCGACCGAGAAGGGAAGAAAAACGCCTATATCAAAAGATGAAGAGAAAATGGGAGAATGATAAAATTGCGTCGATAGAAAGCCTCAGGTTTGATAATCAGATCAGAAAATTCTATCAGGAAGTTAATACAGGAAGGAAGCCATTCAAGCCAAGGATTACTGCCTGCAGAGCCGAGGATGGATCCTTTTAACTGAATCAGGTCAAATATGGGCTAGATGGAAACAGTATTTGATGACCTCCTGAATGGCAATTATGAAGTAGAAGGATAGGTAGAAGGAATCTTTATTATAAATCGAACAGCAAATGGTGAGCTTGAATCTCCCAATGACGATGAGATCACAGACGCAATCGAAAGGTTAAAAAACAATAAAGCACCAGGCCAAGATGATTTACCAGCCAAACTGTCTAAGTATGGGGGAGATATTCTTAGGAAAGTGGTACATGAACTGAACTTATTACTGTCTGGCTGGAAAAATCGCTGCTTGTATCCTGGCAGAGAACTATTATTTGCCCTATTCATAGAAAGGGCAATCAGCTGGACTGCAATAATTACTGAGGGATCTCTCTCCTTCCAACTGTCTACAAGATCTTTTCGCTTATCTTGTTTCGGCATCTTCTCCCGTTCGCTGAGACAGTAATTGGTGACTTCCAGTGCCTTTCCGACAGGATAGATCCACAACGGACCAGATCTTCTCTCTCGGAATCATTCTCGAGAAACGAAGAGATTATTCATTGCCAACACATCACCTATTTATCGATTTTAAGGCGGCCTATGACAGCATTAACAGGGAACAAATCTATAATGCGATGGATAAACTTAAGTTCCCTAAGAAACTAATCTGCCTAGCTCGACTTACAATTAATTAACACGGTAGAATGTAAAGTGGGAATCCAGATTGGGGGGTCAGAGGAGCTCTGTACAAGAAAAGGAGTAAGGCAGGGAGAATCGCTGACCTGTCTCCTGTTCAATGTGTCACTTGAAAAAGTTCTCAGAGACGCGCGGAGACAATTGGATGGGACCATCTTTAACAAGTCAATACAAATCCTGGCATACACAGACGATATTGATATCATCGGGAGATCACTTCGCGGCGTAAAGGAGGCTTTTCTGGCTCTCGAACAGTCTGCGCGGAACATGGGACTGCCTATAAACGAAAACAAAACCAAGTATATGGTTACTGGCATAAATGCACCACATCCACAAATCTCGATTAGTGACTACAATCGAAACGATTAAACAATTTGTTTATCGGAGCTGCCAAGTAAATGCCAACAACGATGTATGAAAAGAAATACCTAGGAGAATCCTGGCAGCAAATAAATGTTACTGTGGCCTGCGGTGGTAACTAAGTAATCTTGATCTCCAGAGTTAACGAATCTTAGACAGTGGAGACTTTATGAATAATGGGTTTATTCAATATGTTATAAATGTCATCTAAAATATAGAGTAATATAATATGGATATATGAGTTGACTACATCAGTTCACTACAGGTCTCCTACAGTGAAGAGTCTGACTCAAGAATGCAACTGTATGAGTGATTTGGTCTGAGGATCATAGGGGTTATATGCTCAGGAATAGTAGGGGGGATGAATCAATTATGGAACGTCTAGGAAGCGTGTGAATGAAGTTAAGAATTGATATCCTTATCTTTTAGAATTGATATGAACTCTGTGAGAAAGTGCTCGTTTGTTGAAAACGGTTATTGTTCCCTAAGTCTTGATAAGTGTCTTCTGTCCAGTCAGTACATTCTAGATAACTATATCTAAGCTATCAGAGATAGCTGGACCTGGCTATATAGGGCTTTGATAAAGGTCATGAGAAAGGTCAATGAATGATTAAATTAAATAAAAGTTAATATTAATAGTTGTTACGGATTAAGTCCATTCCGTAACTCAGGAAAACAAAAGCGACTGGGTACAAAACGCTGATTCGTCCTGTCCTTACATATGGAGCGGAAACGTGGAGCTTCTCCAAAACAGACGAAAACAAGCTGTTGGACTTTGAAAGAAAAGTACTAATATGGACCAGTACGTTCAGGTAACGATTGGAGGAGACGGAGTAATGCAGAACTGACCGCTATACATAATTATACAGATCTACCGGTTCATTATAATACAGCGTTTAAAATGGGCGTGTCATGTAATCAGGGTAGATGAGAATATCCCAACCAGCAAAATTATGCTGACGCGTCCAGAAAGAAAAAGTAGAGTTGGAAGACCTAGATTGCGCTGGATGGATGGAGTCGACTTGACGATGGAGCGCATTGAGATAATGGAGAGTACATTTACTCCTCATCCAGAATCCCATACTGCAAAAGTAGAATTCCTCTCTTCACCAATTCCACTCTCCTTAACCCCTTAAGTAGTTAATCTTTCTGAGGTCAAATACCTTTTACGTAAAATCACACCTGGCAAATCTCCTACGATCTGAGTTCCTAAACCCACAGATCCTTTGAACTTCCTCCCAAAGCCATCATATTCCTCACATATATTTATAATTACATCTCAAGAACTACCCACTCCCCTCTCTTATGGAAACATTCCACCATCGGCCTTTTCCTGAAACCAGGTAAACCTTCCAACAATATATCATCCTATAGACCAATTAGCCTACTTCCAATCCTTTAAGAATATCCTAATGAAAAGAATGCTACCCATAATAGAATCCCAAAACCTTCCTACCCACCAATTCGGATTTCATTAGCTTAACACTCGGCAAGGATGGTAACTACAACCGGAGGGATCAAACTCCGGACTTTTGGGAGGATGAGATATTAATGGAGGGATCATTCTCCTGACTTAGTAGACTCCTGGCGGATCAGCATCCAGACTTGTATGGAGAGAGAATAAGAAAAAGGTTTTGGATAATTTTTAAAGAAAAAGGCAATGTGATGCATTAATACGAAGAGTATATAAATCACGTACAGTTAAGTAGGTGACTGATAATCCTAATGCCCAAAGGGCTAGATCATTCTTTCATGCAAAAGATGGGTAACGAGAATCGTACCCGATTATTCTGGTCTTATTTTTTCAACAGTTGATTTATGTACCTTATATATCTTTATTTAGAGACTAACGGAGGAATCATTCTCCTGACTTAGTATACAGGAATACTAACGGATACAGGAATACAAGTCTGGATGACGGATCAGCATCCAGACTTGTAAGGAGTAGTAAAATAAACATATTTTTACAACACATATTTTACAATGAAAGAAATGTACATTTTAAAAAGTCAATTATACAAAAAAATATAATATAAAAATCATCCCGTGATGTGAGCATCTTGTGATGGCGCAGTCTCGTAGCGGGCGCTTGAACTACGTGCAGGGCCACTACAGGTCCCCGCACAGAGCCGCTACACTCTGATCCTACCTCTCTGACTGCTCTTTACAAGTTTGCTGTGGTACTGAATTCTCAAACTGTTATTCAATTGAGGTGGGAGTTCTGCCGTGCAGCGTATTGGATCCCGTCCTTTACCATTCTTTTTATCGCAGATATCCCTCTCCATCCTGAAACCCTCCCGGCAACATTCGCAGATGATAACGCTATCCTTTCAACCAACTCAGATTCTAAAACAGCGTCCTTAAACCTACAAATGCACCTCCTCCTAATTGAATATTGGTGTAAGAATAGCGCATTAAGGTAAAGTAAACGAATTGAAATGCAAACATTACCATCACCGTTTGTCATAGATTCTGTTCACCAGTTTATTTTAACTCCATCCAGCTACCTTTCTCAGACACACTCAGGTATCTTTGTTTTCTCTGGTTAGGCAGACGACTGATCTGGAACCCTCATAATCCACCCAAAAGACAGGAATAGAAAATATAACCTGAATAGAAAATATAAACTTTCTATTGAAAACAAATTATTGATCTTCAAGATAAAACTGAAACCTATTTGGACTTATAGACTAGAACTGTGGGGGACAGCAAAATTTTCTAACATCAAATGCATCCAATCCTTTCAGTCCTTCGAACAATCATCGATGCTCCTTTCTATGCAACCAACAAAACTCTACACCAGGACCACAACATCCCATTTCAAATCTTCTTGCACAATCGCTATCAAGCACCACCCATCACTATAATCCTCCAAGAAGGTTAAAACAGCTGAGGTCCCGCGACCTTCTGAAGTTTTTAGGAACTGGAGTTCTGGCAATCATCAGATTCTCGATTCAAGACCGAAACTAGCGTGAAACTGCATGAAAATAATTGTAGGTGACGCGAAAGCAGAGATAAGACGATCGGTAAAAAAAGTTTACACTATTGAAGGAAGTTAGTTGACTGTTCTACATATCATGTATATTTTCAGGCGATTTGCGAAATGGACCAAAATTGCTTGAAATGTAACAACTATGCATATAGTTAAAAACCAATGTTTCAGCTATTGTAGGATTAACAAGAAGTACCTAATTCTGTCCAGCACATTCCGTTAGGTTTAAACAATATATACTGGCAAACCAGCTCTAAATATAAAAATGATGGTTTTCATTTCTTCACCTATTATCTCACATCAGGGCATTATTAATGCTATAATTAAGTTTAAAATTACTGGATATGAAGGGGAAATAATATTAGTTTGTCAGTAATGCAGTAAAACTTCCCAATTGTAACTTTTGTTTTCCCCCCGAAACCCAATGTCCAACCGTAGTGTTAGCTTGTCCCAGTGAGCGTCATTATAAATTAAGAATAGTTCTGGAATACTTTGTAGGAGGTAAGAGAATTTGTATTTATATTCAGAGGATGACTTATTGCTTTCGCGTAATCGGGATAGATGGAGCATTGTTTTGGGGGGTTTGAGGATCCAAGGTGGATTTTGAATTTCTGTTATGTGTATAGGTATGTTCTTACTTTAGAGGAAGAAATTTTGACAATTCGCCATTTAAGCCCTGTTAGGTTACATTAATGAGGAAAAAATCTATCTTACATGAAAAATTACTTAATAATACCTTGACCTAATCAAATCAGTTTAATAAAAATTGTTAAGAGCCATTGTTACATAAAATCAATGATATAAAGAGGCACTTCCCATAACCCGATTTCAACGAAAATGTTGGTGTACTGTCCCAGCCATACAGAAATCTCAAATATGCAATTTCAGTTTCATATAGCTTATCATTTTTTAGCCAGACTGTTCACACACACATCCTTGGTTATTTGGATTCAGTAGACCTCAAAACGTGTATTTCCATTGAAAACTCGGATTAAAAAATTTTCAGTCGCAATACTATCCTTTACTACACATTTAATATATAGGTAAGTAAAAGTAAAAAAAAAAAAAAAAAAACATGAACATCTCCCATCCCAGGAAATAGATACAGAAACGTTAGGTTGAACATTATCAAAAATATTATAATTTTAGGGAACCAAGAATTTCAATTAAATCAAACTGATAAAAAATCATACAATTTATTTTCATAATAATACAACAAAAACATTATACAATGACAGAAGAAATTGAGCAATAGGGCTATTAGCATATTAATATCACAAAATATATTTTAACATTAACAAATTACAACTAAAAAATTGAAAGGCTTAAATAAAAAAAACTAACACAGGTAATTTCAGAAATATGAAGAAAAAAAAGAAACAAAAAGTTAAATAAGATAAAAAACAAATTACAGCAATCAATCATAAATAAATTTTCGGAGGTTCAGTCAATAAAAAAAAGCAACTATATTTTACAGACGTTAAGACACCTGAATATGTCCTCATATTCATGCTCTACAGAGAAAAAAAAACAGTTTAAATACAATTTATTTAGAAAAGAATTATATTTTTAGAAATTACAAATGAAAATTTCCAACAACTAGAACAGACATTGACTATTGAGGAGAAAATGGTTACAAATTTACTTTAGAAAAATAAATAACTTTAGCGAGTAATAATTACTTTTTGGAAAAGTTTTCTATAACCCCGAGATATTTCACTATGGGGCATAAATGTGAAAACAATTAAGTCACAAAATATAGTTGTTTATTAATTGATTGAACCTTAGGATCCTTAGTATTCTGTTGGTTTTCCATATTAATATTTTTTAAGAATTTTTAGAGCAATATAAAATAATTGAATAAAACATAAATAACAAAAAGGCGTATTAATTTAGACAATTAGTAATAAATTAAATAAGTTATGAACTATGAAGAAGAAAATACAATCATAATCACTAATAATTTTAATGAATTTGGAAATAATACAAAAAAAATGTACCCAGATATACAACAGTAGCCCCTAATGAAGTCATTAATTGGAAAATTAAAAAAAATTATTGACGACAGCATTAAAAAAACCTTAATTTCTATGAAACAAATATCACATTTGTGCTATCACAGTTCAAGGACATAATAATCTCCTTCTTTTCTATCCACATTATTAATATTCCACCACAAGGAACAATGTATAATGGTGGAATATGTCAAATTCATGAAGAGTGTCATAATGAGGAATCATTGAGTTACTGCATTTCTTCACTAAGAATAGTATTATTCCTCATGTAGAATAATACATAGGCAGCTTGACCCTGAAAATAAGCATTACCAAATATAAATTGTGAGTATGAGTACCACATTCAATTAACAATATTAATAAGCAATATTTTGATTTATCTATAACATAGGGTTTTTAATACCCCTCCTCTTCACCTAAGCTGTAGAACAATAGTTCTATACCATGAACTATTTTAGTTAAGCATATTTTCCAAATGATGTAATCCGGATGATTTGTGAAATCCTGAATATCCTTGCTAATTACAAATAAAATCTCTGTATACCCCTTCTCTCTGAAATTATTTTCCCGATTTGGAGTATGACTGCCTGATATAAAAAAGATGTGGAGGGTGTCTGGTGAGAAGAGATTAATAAATTTCATAAAAAAAATTTTCAGGATTTTAACCCTTTGAAGATAAAGTGTCAGGTGGAAATAGTAGACACTAAAAAAAAACAGCTGCCGCTATATCTTGTGGATATTTCATTTATCTTTTTATAAATTTAGCGAAGTATTTTTGTGTGTTGCTAGATAAATTGCAGCTTACTTTTTTGGAAGGAAGCTAGGTAATATATCACACTCCTTGAAGACATGTAAAAATAGAATGTCTTGTAGCTGCAGCTCCAAGATAGAAAATAAAGGTTTTATGTTTCAAGGTCCAGAAATTACAAAAAATATCTCATGGAAGTGGAATAACAAAATCAAAATAATAGTTATTGAAGGAAGTTAGTCTTATAGTAAAACTTCAAAACTGTTCATGACCACAATATTGATAATGCCATATAAATTTCTTATATATGTAAGTGAAAGTAGAAATTAGTCACTTTTTTTAAATGATACTAATGATGCATGGAATTTATTCCAAAATGGATTCATGAAAACAGCAATCGCTATCAGAAATGTATCGAAATGCCATGTAATAAAATATTTTGTTAGCCATTTAAGAATATTTTATATAAAATATTTAAAAACTACATTTTGTCTGTCTATATAAATTCAATAAGGTTTGACACTTACGAGGATGTCCTCACTTCTTATGGGTGTGACATTGTCATCGTCATAACAGTACCATCCTTCAGATTTTTGGTTTTTGCAGTATGCAGTGTCTAGAAACAATATTAGTAATTTTAATCATAATTATGGTAAAAACAACAATCAAAATCAAATGTAACTGAATAATTAAAATAACAAAGAATAAAAAAAAATGTCTTACAATGGCCTCCAGACAGGGTCCCATAATGGTTTATAACACCCACTAGATCATATTTTACATCTTGCTCAGACGGATTTATAATATATTTAGCTAATCTAAGGTTAGTCAGTGGAAAATCTACTAGGGAATCAATTTTATCACCCCCCTTTGTAAATGAGAATCTTTTAAGTTGAATTATTAATATATTTGGTAATTTCCAAAGATCAAATTTTTTCGTAACTCTGCGGTGTACTTGGCATGTAGGACAGTACCTGTTAAAAAAAAAAAAGAAACATTCTGAATGAAATCACAATAAATAGTTGTTAACAAATACTGAATAATCTATATTATATTTAAAAAATTGAAACTCACGAAAAATTTATACATAATAATTAATATGAAAAACTAAATACAATAGAGAACTTCATGAATTTTGAATTTTTCTTTTCAATGAAGATAAGGTTATAAGAATGAAAACACCAAAATTCCTGGAATTTTCTTATGCTTGTTTGCAAAGATAATTAGCGTTATAGAAAAGGGGTGGGGACAGATCTATGTCATGAGGGTGGAAATACAGCTGCATTAGGGGCTGCTGGTGTCTAGCTCATACCGTAAATAGAATCTCACTCCTTTGGAGACTTTATCCTTTAATACTGTCTTACTTTGTAAAACAGTTTATATTTTATTTTTTAATTATTACTAGAGCCCTGATTTGAACATCTTTAACCATTCACTTAAATGGTGTTCAGTATACAATAGTATTTGTAGAATATAAACACCATTAAACATAAATAATCATAGTCACACTAAAAAGAAGAAACATAAACTAATATTTATGTTTGTAGAAAATGATATTTGCTAGATTTCTTGAAAATATCACAGAATTCAGCCAAATTTTACTAAATTCAAATTATTTCTAAAGTTTTTTTTCTTCTTATGCAATATGATCATGACTCTTCTGCCATGAGACTGCTTGCATCCCAATAAAGTTAAGCCGATTGTAACCAATTAGTATAACCAGCAGAAAAATTCTGTCTCATTTCTTCGAGATGAGAGAATTCATGTAAATGGCTTTATGCCATAGCAGAGGAAATGCTGCATAATTAGTAGTGAAGGTCATCTGTCACTTGTATCTTGTTGAGGTGAGCATTCAAATAGTCATGATCAATGATTGATAAGAAAGTAGCAACTGAGCCGTGCGAGGGTAGATCAAGTGGAACACAACCATTTGGATTGAGAAGGGTAGTCCACTATTTTCCTCTTGTGCAATGTTAGTAAATAAACTTACAGCATTTGATTGTTTAGGTTTTTTATAAGTATTAGTAGAAAATTTAGTTGTTAATGGAGGCATGACCAACTGGGGGCCTTGTTTGGCTAGGGCATCAGCCTGTTAATTACCTGAGGTTCCTACATGTAATGGGATCTATTGCAGCATCAAGCCTAGCCTCCAAGTCTTAAACATGTAAGTGCAACTGGATGGTAACTTGATAGGCTATCTGCAGGTCTGTCCTTAAGAATGGGTAGGCTCTTAGCCATACTTCAGCCAACACAGAAGTGACATTGCTGTTGAAAAAGATCATTACTATATTCTTGGTAGCAGGGCCCAGGTTGATTAGAAAAATTCAAGTAGGATTTTATCTGGACCAGAACTTTTTCTCTCCTTAGTCCTTTGAAACGCCATTTCTGCCCCATTCTGGGTAAAGTCAATGTGTAGTAGCTTGTGCTCTCCAACAAGTGGACATGTTGGAATATCAGTCATTTTTGAGTATTTAGCTTTTGTTCTTGGATGAAAATTGTTCACTGCTGCAAAGTGTTAACAGAGGAAACACGCATTGTCTTGGTCAAAAGTTAGGCTAACTTCACCCTTCTTGATTGGATTTTTTTTTATGTGGAGGATCATTGTTCAATCAGGAAATAAGCTGGTGTGTTTTAAAGTCATTTTAAAAAAAAAATCCAATAGCTGGAAACTTCTAAAGGCTGACTTTTTGATTGAAGATAGCTTGATCATTGGGGTTTCGAGTGGATTAGAATTTCAAATGTCAATTGCAACATTGTTAATGCCCCTTTTATTAAAAATAAAAATATGGAATTTTTCATTTCTCATATAATTGGTAACGAATAATCTACTTTTTAATTAAAAATGAATAGAATGAAAAATCATTCCCTACATTGTTGTCGGGGATCAGGTAATGCCTTTTTCATTTTATTTCAGAATTTTAACAATGGGAATTACGTATTCTTGAAGATTGTGAATCATTAAATTAGATAAATACTGTAGGAAAACTCATGACCAAAAATTCAAATTAATAAAAATTTTAAGACATTCATGAATAAAACTAAAATCTATTGACTTTACTTAACAATTCATCAAAGCAGAACGGCTAGATATTGAGATAAACCTTTATTAATAACAACAAAAATGTTTGTCTACTCCAATTCATATAGCAGACCAGGGCCAACCCAAAGAAGAAGAAACTTAGAAAAAAACAAGAATTAGAAAATTCCGGCAGGCAGTTCTTTAACAGAACTTCATGTACTTCTGATAGCTCTTGAAATTAAAAGGATATAATCATTCACTATGAGACCACCAGCCTTATATGATAATGTGACATCCATAAAGGAATAAAAGCTTTGTTGATGAAAACATTTGAAAATAGTATGCAAAATAATTTTGGGGTCTGTCAAGTAATCTCGGTAATCGACAGAGTATTTTATGTCCATTATGTGTCATAAGGTTCTTCTAATGGAGGAATTATGTATATGTATATTATAAGTATATATTATGACTTCATTGTATCAAACAATGGATACTGTAATCATCTAACTACCTACATAAAAAAACAAACAATAAGGAAGAATTTAACATCTAAGAAACATTGTAGACATATATTTGGAAGAAACATGGAACAAACAACTTCTAAGGAAAACATCACAGAAATAAGACAAACAAAAAAAAAAAAAAAAAAAATCTACAAGCCGTAGTTGTATACATAATAAACATTGCTTTAGAAAAGTTCAAGGAAAACTCTAAGATGATTGTTACAGGATATGACACAGATTTGTTAACACTATGCATAGTTATTGATCCAAAGGACAAGGAAATTTATTTTTAGAAACACTAAGTCAGCCACAAGCCGACTAAATGATATCGTAACATTAACATGTTGATAAAGCAGCATAATGATATGTAAATAATTCTTTCATAACAAATTCAATGACAAGATATGACACTATATCCTGCTTTCATGGCTTAGGAAATTAATTGGAGAGTTAAATTTAGGAGGGAAGCTTAGAAATAAGTTCCTGTATTTTTGCTAAAAATACAGAAAAAAAAAATAGTTAAATAAAAGAAGATCTGCTAATAATTGAAGAAAAGTGTGCTATTGAGCAATATGGATTGAATAGGTTTACTAAGTTGAATTAAGCTTATTTCAAATTTATGAACCTGGTTAAAAAGACTAAACTACAAGCAAACTTTAAAATGTCACAGTGAAGTTCTAACAACTGAGGCATTTCAGTAATTTATTTAAAGAGTATACTTGCCAGAACAGGAGGAAGGAAGTTAAAAGGAGTTAAGGATGGTAAAGAAAAGAACGAATATCAATCTGTAACTTGTTTGTTTATTCAGGCTTTAAGGCGTAAAACCCTAGAGTAATGAACGCCTGCTTTTTTTAAGCCTTAAGCCATCTGCACTGAATGTTGTGTTACACACAGTATCATACTTCAGAAAATTTATTCATGGGAGTTATTGTAGGTACACAAAATCACATTTGCTTTGTACACATAACCTTGAAATTTTGAACACTGCAGTGAATATTGGCCACAAAACCCCAATCCACAGGTGAAGATCAAGACATAATTTATAAATCTGTATATATACTTTTTCACTCAAAAATGTAACAAGAATATTGTAGTAATTATTGAAAAAAAAAATTTAGGCTACATATTTTTTACCATTCTTTATTATTTTTCACTTTTTTGGCTAGCTTTAGGCTTCCACAATAAATAAATGGCTTGGAAATGACAGAAGCCAAAAGGTAGCCAAGATAGAAAAAAATAATAAAATTGTGAAAGATATGCAGCCTAAATTATTTTATCAACTAATAAGAACTTCCTCTTAATAAAAAAAAAGTGAGTTTTCTTTAACTCCATAACCCATAAGCTGCTGGCTAGTGCTCTGGGACACAACTGGTCTATTTGTGAGAAAGAAAGAAGAAAAAAAATTATAAAACAAATATATCAAACAGCAATATCAACTGCTCTGATGTACACGTGAAATGTATTCAATGAAAAAATCAAAGAGATTCCGCTGAAAAATAGGCAAATACTGAGAGACCAGTTGAGAGCACAACCTTCTAATCAGCTGACCCACTGCCTTCGGACATTACTATTTTAAGACATATGCTATCGGTTCCAATATAAGAAAGAAATTTTATCCCTAAAAATAATTAAGATAAATAAGTGAGGCTGCAACAACCAATGATGAGGGTCTGACATGCACTAATACTTTACTATCTGTTAGAGTTTCCCCACCACCAAAAAATTTAAAGTTAGCTATACCATTTGAAAGAGCAAATAAAATGCTACATCTTTCATTTGATGCATTGTATATCATTAAAAATAAAAGTGTCTGTTTAAACCATAAAATATAAACTCCAATTTGAACTTTTTAAAAATATTTTAGTAAATTCTGGTAAAAATGCTATTTTGCAAAAACATCATAGGACTTTTTTAAAAACCAGACTTAGAGAAATAAAAGGATACAAGTCGTATCAATGTCAACAGTAACAAGGCGGATTTATGAGCAATAACTAAAAGTCTCAAAGTAGATATTCAAGAGAGGGGGGAGTGCAAGCAAGAAGGGATGGATTGGGGACTACTGGGAAAAGTTATCTATTAGTGAGTTCTGACAACTGGCAAAAATTCAGCTTGTCTTGAATTTTTTACAATATAAAACCTTCATTGCATGGAGCAAAAGTAAAATTTTTTGAAAAGTAAGTATTGGTATAAAAGATGAGTAAAATGGAGGTTTCAGGTAACGATAACACAAAACGCAATGTTTGACCTTTATATATATGGTTCATAAGGAGATATGTTTAATAATGCATTATATATCCAGTTTTGTTAAGCAATACTTCACAAAGAGAGTATATTTAAAATGTTATTGAAGAATTTTTGGAGAGCTAATACACTAAAAATGAAAAGATGGGGCTTAAAATAAAATCCAAAGAAAATGACTAATAACGTATGACTAATCTATAAAATAAAATAAGAAGACGAATTTGCAATATTTTTCATCACTATTACTGAATTAATTATTTAAAAAAATACCAGGTGTTTTCTAATCCCAATTTTTCACATGTAGTAAATAGGTCGAAGCAATCGTTGATGCTTAATTTTACTTTATCCTTGAAATGGCTTGAATGGAAATCTGGACCATAATCTGGAGGTCTCTCAGTATAATATAACTGCTTCTGGTCGACAGACAACTGAACGAGCAATATCTTACGACTCACTAGCTTCAAAGAGTCACCTATATCAACTATACCTGAAAAAAAAAAAACCACATTATCAATAAAAAACAACGAACATTTACATAGAGTTGACTACCATTACAGCTCATCGTTGTGCAATCAGGTCTAATCTACATTATCCCTAGATCAAAATAATTTTGATAAGAGTATTTATTTGTTAAACTCAAAATCGTAACTATAATGGGAGAGGCAAGTTCCTAAACCAGGGCTACCAAACTGTTAGAATAAAATTCCCTGACTATTTCCTATTTTAAAAAAGTTTTCCATGACCAATATGTCAGGGGACACAAATATTAAAAATGTATAGTTTATAACTAATTCATTTATTATACATGATTGAAAATTGATAGATTAGAGTAAAAAAAAGTCTGTTCAGTCTTTAAAATAACAAATATAATATTCTAGAGGAAGAATTTTTTAAACTTGATTAGGATTTGTTATTTTAGAATACTAAACTTTAAGTAATTTATTTTTATTGCCTTCATTTTATTTTCATAAACTGAGAGGATGGAGAAAAGTTGATACTTGACGCTTCTCTATTATAAAATAAATGAGCTACGTGCAATTCTTATTTCAATATAGTTCCACATAACCAAGTTAGTTTTTTATTGCCACAGAGAAATAATTATCCATGAGATACCAACTGTGAGGCGGAAGGACCGAGGGGACTATTGTTCTGTAAAACACACGTTTCTTGACCACCTGATAAAGTTAAGTTTAAATAATAAAATAATTACAAGTTCGCATCCTGGTGCCAGGGGAGTTTTTAACTCCCCCGCCTTCCACCCAGGAAAAGCCCTGTCTCTGGGTACCCTAAATGGCATAGAAGGGATGGACCCAAAAAAAACTGAGACATTTCGGGTTAGTGTATGGAGCACCACAGGTTAGATGAACGAGTGCTTGCCAGCCAATGAATTGCTACGACATTAGCTACATGTTTAAAATAAATATGTAATTTAAATAATTTAGTAACAATCTAGAAAAAAATTATATATATATATTTACAGCACATATTTTTTATATATCTTTTAAATGTTAACAGAGAATTTTATCTAAGAGTTCATTTTAAAGAATAGGAAAGCTCTATATCAGAAGCAAGTTATAAACAGTATAGATAAATTTATAGTTATTTATTTATATGATTATCCAACCATAAAACATATGATTAAATAATTACCAACCAGATATGATACCGCATATAACAATCTTATATAAATATATATATATATATATATATATATATTAATCATAATATCAATACCTGAGAGATTAGAAATGCAGTTGTCATCATCATCAAATTCTAATTTATTAGGAGTACAACTCCCACTTAAGCTGATATCCAGCAAATAAAGAGCTGGAACAAATAATGACGAAGGATGTTCACTATCAGACGAGGAATTATTTGGATCTAAAATAAAATAATCAATTTCAATTAAATAATCCAGAAATGTTTATTCAAATTATATCTTACAAATAACCATTTGCAAACTGCACAGTTAAAATAGGCTTAATTGTGGATTGATGGTTGACTGTAATGAATAATTGAAAAAAAAAAAAACATTGGTTGGGGTGATCATTAATATGTATTTTATTTTTATTTTTGCTAATATTTCACCCTAAGGATCAGGCCTTTATCAGGGCTAAGAAAAAAACCAGGTAACAATAGGTGTGAGAAACTATTAACAATAGAAATAAAAATAATATGTAGGTGAAAGGTAGTCTAAAAAATGTAAGTACAATAAGCTTAAAGTAAAATAAAGCAGGTAGAGTAAATTTAAAGTAAAATAAAGTAGGTAGAATAAACTTGAAAGGAAATATAATTTAACTGTAACAAAGTTAGGAAATTATGAATAAAATAATAAGAGTAACAGAAAACTATGAAATAAATAATAACTGTAAAAAAGCAGGGATAAATGATATAAACATAATGAAATAGGTAACATAAGAAATGAAAAATGAATTAACAACAAAATGTATGAGATGAAAAACGTAAGTGTAGACATAAAATAAATGGGTTGACGTAGTTGCTAAAATATGATGTCATAGTATGCTAAAAGGAAGTGAGATAATCATAGAATAAAATATAAAACAGAGAAAACGAATATGAAATTATATAAAGAAAATAATAGATTTATAATTTAACATATGTCTATTTTAGGCCATAGGTCACCAAAAAAACACAGTTTTTTTTATTACCTGTATGTTTTATTCAACGTTTCGGCTTCAGGAGCCATTTTCAAGAATCTGCAAAACATGCACCGCGCCATAAAATTTTTAAAATTTGTCATTACGATATGATTCGTCCTAATTCATTCTTTTATTTCAAAGAATGTCGTTTTCCGTTTCTCTATTTGCAGACGGTATCAAGAAAGTATTGTTCTTCAATAGGGCATTCATACAGTCCTGTCAGCACGGCCCATTTGACTGGTGAACTTCATCAGTTAGTTCACGACTATCATTTTTCATAGGTTTATTTATTTATACAATTTCTTTCTTTTATTATCATATAGTTTAACATTTTTTTTGGTTTGTAATTAATTATTAATTTATAAATTACAATTTAATTTTTTCTTTCCATTGGAATCTTAAGTGTGAAAGATCTACAGCTGTCACAGATGGGTTACAACCAGAGACCAGGCATAAAGGATGGGTGTAGATTTCGAATATTACAGGTAAATTGATCATTAAAAAAAAAAAAAAAAAAAAAAAAAAAGCGAAAGTATTAGATATCAAGTATTAAATACTTCAAGGAACTGATATTTCAATTTTTTATTCTATCAGAACATTTTTTAAATCTCAATAGATAAATTAAAGGAAGCATATCAGACTCATTAAAAGTAAATCAGAGTCACTAAATAAAATAATAAGATCTTGAGAAACAATTTGTTGAAAAAACTTACATACTTCCATTATAAATCAATTGAAAGGAATTAAGATAAGGTAAACTATCTATTTCTCCAGTTAATTATCCAAACCAAAAGTTTTCTTCAAACAAGGAATAAAAAACCTTTTTGGGCTTTGGAACGAATGTATTTAATCTAACAGATAAATATTTTTAATAACAATAATTTAAAGTTTGTTTTTCTATTATTTATCTCATAGCCCAGGAACTGACATTTCATAGATCCCAATGCAATAGAACAAATCAACTTCAAAACTAAAATAACTTAATTGTTAAACTGTACCACTGTCTGATGAATCAGTTGTTCCGAAGAAATGACGTGACATATGATTAAGTACTGTTGTAACAATGGTTTCTTTCTCCAAATAATTTGAAGGAAGAACTATGAGCAATGGCATCCCAAAAAGATGGTTGAAACTAAATCTGTCTGATGGCTTGCACTTCTCCCAGAAACATACGGGTAAAACTGTGTATTCTGTACAACTTCCAGCGTTAATATCTATCTGATATCTGGAAAATAAAATTATACTAAATTTATTCTAAAACTGAAATAAGAAAGTATATGAATTAGATTATTTATTTATTTTTTAAATATTTTTTACTAACTTCCTAACACTTAGTACAGTAAACATAAATGTATTCTTTAGACATTTTATAAGGTATATTTAAAGATAGCATCTTTTCAACACAATAGATATTCATATCAATAAATCCATTAAATTCAACATATAAGAAATTAGATGTTATATCTATAATTAAAACTAATTATAATATTATTAAAAAATAATGTATGTAGTGTATTACAAAATTAAAATGTTATTAATACAATTTTTAGTACATATGTTGGTGAAACATCCTGACAATACCCTCCCCATAATATATCATTTCGATGATGTTTAATGTATAGATACTGATGTATCCATGGACTGTGTTGATACCTTAGTTATTCAGAAGACTATTTGATAAAGAAGTAATGAGAAAGGTATTCTTGTGTCTATTTACATGAAATGAGGATCTATAAATACTTATAATTCATCAACATCAACCTCTTCAAAAAGCTGTAGAATATGATTCGCCTGGTCTTCCTCCTTATCTTCCACAAGTACCGCATCTCTAAAGACTGAATCTGGCTCTAGTGGTTTAAAGTGAGTGTCCAATATCCAGAGACTACGTGAAGATAGAAAGGAACACTGATTTGTAGACTGCCATCTTCGTTTTCTTGGCAATCTCATTTCAGTCGAGGAAGCCTCTCCTGACCGAGCAGAATATCCTTCTCGCAGCTTCGATTGGCTGCTTTATCTCCTTGCCAATAAATCAACTTTTATTGAGCCGAGCAAGAAATTGCTGGATCCAAGTATTAGGTTGTCCAACAAGTTCTTTCCTTTTTTTTTATTTGTTGTTTAAGGTTGATTTACTGTGTTTTATATGAACCGTTCTGCTCTATTACCTTCTTCCATCTCTTAGGAAGCCTCTTATACCTTTTTCTCTAATTGTTGAGACTTACTTGCAAAATATCCATCGAGATGCGTTTATATTTTGGTGTTTTTGACATTTATCACAAAGAGAATTTATTAACAAAAGAAAAAAGAAATGATCAGATAGGGCAAGGTCCTAGATGGAAGATGGAAGAAGGTAATAGAGCAGAATGGTTCATATATAACACACTAAATCAACCTTAAACGATGATGGGAAATATAGGATAAATAACCAACCTAATCAACAATCTAGAACACAAAGCATGCTGCATCTAAGATATTCAGAGATTTATGTAGCTTTTAATTATACATTGCAAAATACATACCAATACAATGTAATTAGTTTTAAACATAATTATAATTAGTAATAAATATAATTAATATTTAAACTAATATATTAAAATGTTAATAACAAAAGTATTGTTCTTAACTTGTTGAATAAATATCATTCCAAAGTTTCATTCAAGAAATTCACATTTAAATATTCATGTTTCATGATTTGGAAAAATATTGTTTGTTCAACTTAAAAAGCATTTCAACCAATACAATTTTGACATATTACAAAAGAATTTCAGGGTTTTACCAATATAGTGCTATAAGGTGTTCCAACAGGACAAGTATATAATCTATCAGTGGGATTATATACAAATACTAAATTAGACAAATAATTGATTATATCAATTATACATACACATGAAACAACTCCTTGTCCTCATAGAGCTCTAGTGGTTCATTGTACGAATAGAATCTGTGAAAGTGACTGTTATTTAAGTCTGTAATAATTAACTGATTAGCGTTGCAGGAAGTTTTAAGTGCTACCTCATGGCAAAGATCTTTTATAAGGCTCTTCCTTGAAAGTGTTACTCTTAAAAATATTTCCCTTTTTTTGGGATCATAAGGAATAAACTTGACCTAAAACAAAAATGAACAAAATAAAGGATGAACAAAAAAAAAAATATATATATATATTTTAGAAAGTAGATTACATTTAATTATGATAGAATATTAATTTTTAATGTTAGAACAACTCTTAGTAATTATAATGGAGTAATAGAAAAAATAATAGAATGGAAATACTACTAAGTGAAAAATCACTATAAAGCTTGGGTTTATCTTCAATAAACTACAGTATTAAGATGTTTTAAGAATATCCCATTTGTGAGGAGATTATCGAAATGATTTTTAATGTTAGCCCAAGACTAGACCCTCAGAACTATTGGTCCGGGATTCACTAAAGATTTAACCATGTAAACAGTGGCAGAAGGTTTGAAAATTGAAAACAACAGAGATGACAACCCTAATGACAAAAACCCTCGAGTCAGATGGCTAACTGGAAGCATTTGGCTATGGTAGAATTTAAAAAATCGTAAAAACTTCCAAAAATTACATGATCAACCATCAGGAAAAAACCTACTGGAATAGTTTCAGACAACTCAGTAGATGACAGATTTAATAAAGTTAAACAAAATTTTGGAAGCTTTTTACAAATCTGACAGCTTTAAAAATCTCAAAAAGCGACAAAAATTATGTATTTTGGAATATGAGTGCTATAGGGGTTATATCGTTTAGGACCATGTTAAGATAGGCCGTTGAATATATTATGTTAACTCACGGTACTCTTTATCCTATTTCAGTGGATAAAAAAGGGGTTTTTAACTTGGTGTCACTTCCGTTGACTAGCTAGAGGGTCCTGGCGAAACCATTGCTAGGTTACCCAATCTGGATAACTTGTAAATATATTGTGAAGATGTCATCGTAAATAGTGTAATTAGGTTGTTGGTAGATAGGATAATAGATATGATTAGGATTTTAATTATAAATTCTATGAACGGAAGGTAATGGACCTCAGGGTGAATTATTGATTTAGGTTAGATTAAAGAACTAAAATATAAATATAATTTCTGATAATAATATTTAAAAAGTTTAATAAATTGTAATTTGTTTTGGCAGAAGAAAGTTAGAAATTGCCTTAATTAATTAGTGTGTTCTCTCTGTTTATTCCTATAATAAAAGTTATTATATTTTACAATGTTATGTCAATAATTTAAACAGTTATTTTTAAGTTAATTGTAATAAGATATGGAAATTATATTGTAATATTTTTTATTTAGATATTTTTTTGTAAATAATGTATTTAGCTTATTTTATTACTTGTATATCAATCTATTTTACTTATTTATCTTGCACATAAATTACATGAACAAGTATGTTATATTATATGTAATTACTGTATGTAGTTTATATATTGTTTAAATTAGTTTAAAATTAAGAGTTTTTGCCTATTTTTCAGCGGAATCTCTCTGATTATTCACTGAATACAGTACAAGTGTACATCAGAACAGTTGATATTTACTGTTTGATTTATGTTTTTTTAAAAATTGTTTTTCTTTTTTCTCTTATGATATGCGGCATTGTCACCAAGTGATGTCGAATAAGGTGGCCACTAAGAGGACTCGGTCAGATGGCATTAGTAGCCCTCGTGATTCACCAGTGCGAGAAATCGCTCCAATAACCACAGTGAACACTTCAGATCCAGAACCTCAGCCTCAACCAGGTATTTCTTACCAAGAAATGATTGAAGAATCTCCTTTCTTTACTTTAAACCCGTTCCAAGTGCTTCATAATAACAGAGAAGTAATGGAGTCAGCAGCAATACACAGGGAACCAAGGCCTCCTCCGATATTTGTAAAAAATATCAACAATTTTCAGCTATTGTGTACACAACTAAACGAAATCTGCTCCAGCAGTTATTCTTGCCTCAACAGGATCAATGATACGAAAATAACACCAGATATTGCAGAAACCTACTGAGAAATTGTGAAGTGCCTGTCAGAAACTAATGCAAATTTCCATACGTACCACCTGAAACAGGAGAGATCGTTACGAGTGGTAGTAAGAAATTTGCACTCCTCAACCCCAACTGAAGTGATAAAAGAAGAAATAGCGGCACTTGGTTTCAAAGTACGTGAGATAACCAACATTCTGAAGGAAAATAAGGAGCAGCCAGGAGTAAGAAATAAAGATCCACTACCTTTATTTTTCGTGGATCTAGAGCCATCACCTGGTATTGAGAAAATATATGAAATCAACAGATTGTACTACACTATCATGAAGATAGAAAAGCCATATCCCAAGAAGGAAATCGTGCAGTGCCACAATGTGGTGAAAACACAAATCAGCAGAGTGCACCAAACCTATACAAGATCCTGCAGTTTGTGCCCTATGCTTAGAGGGACACCCGGCCAACTATGAAGGCTGCTAAACCTATAAGAGCCCCAAATCCAGATACCAGAAGAATCGGATTCAAGATGAGACAACCAGACCAAGAAGAGAACCTTCTAGAATTGTTTATAATAATTTATCATACTCCGAACTACTTGGAGGTAAGAACCCAAATAATACATGTGAAGACCTGCCGCAATATTCTGTTCATCCTAACATACCTAACCATCAACAACCTCAAATTTCTCCTCCTTCAAATGCAACAGATCTCACCAGTTTGTTAGCATCTTTCCTCACTGATTTCAAATCCCTAGTTACTCCATTCATATCATGTCATTCACTCCCGCCACCCTTCTTACATCTCCGAGCTCCTTCAATTTAAATCCTCTGTCCATTCCCGATCTTCAGACTTATATATAATGGCCCACTGAACCGCTGCTTTCGATAAATCTTTTATTATTCGATTCTCATCCCTATGGAACTCCATCACTCCCGACATCCGTAGCTCCAATACTCTTCCTACTTTTAAATCCCGCCTATTCAATCACTTTCTTTCCATCCAGTCCCTCTAAAATTGTAAATAGAAACTTCTGTAAATATGTATAGATATTATTAGTTTATTTTCATCTCAATGTTCTTTCATTTATTTATTTCTTTCTTAATCGATTTAATCTAGAAGAGAAAGGATTTAATCTAGAGAAGATTTAATCTCTTTTTTTTCCCCTCTATTATATCTATTAGTGAACTTTCTAAATACATTTATATATATCGGAGGCTCAAAAGCCCACATTTCTGTCATTGTTAATTATTCTAAAGGGATTTGTCCCAGAATAAATAAAAGATTATTATTATTATTATTATTTTTGAATTTCACACTTCCTTGGCTTTTGCCAGAAATATTCACCTACCCGGACCAAGGTCAAGGATTAGGCTCAAAATTTAAACTATATTTAAGAACTTCTGGACGATGTTAGCTGTACCTAAGAGAACTGCTTTTTGCCCTTTTTCCAACAATTTCTCTTGCAGTTTCAAATTTTCTACAGAGCGAATGGTATCGTCTGGGATGAGGCCATTGCTGGAAATTACAACTGGATATACCTGGACTTGTTTCAGTTTGTAAAGTTGCCGAAGCTCTTGACACAAGTCTTGATATTTCGTAATCTTTTCAGAAATAGTCTTTCTGATATTATCATCAGTTGGAACCGCTATATCTATGACATACCCACTTTGTTTCTTCCAATCAATTAATACAATGTCCGGTTTGTTATTAACTACCGTGTGGTCTGTAATTATAGATCGATCCCAATATATTATTGTCTTTTTTTTTTTACAGCACCGGTTTGGGCTCATATCGATAATAAGGTACCTCATATGTTATCATGATATTTAATGAGGCCAGTGCTTGGTGAACAATTTTAGCCAGCTTATTGTGTCTCATCAGATATTCTTTACCTGCCAATGCTTGACATCTCGACGAAATATGTTGGATTGACTCTATTACATTTTTACATAAGCGACATCAGTCACTTACATTTTCTCCACATATATATTTTTTGTAAGCATTGGTGGATACTACCTGGTTTTGTATGGCCAAAATAAACCCTTCAGTTTCGGGAAATAGGTATCCTTTCTTAAGCTATTTATTAGAGGCCTCCTAGTTAATTCCCGATTGAGATAAAGCATTGTAAAAACGATCATGTAGTGCTTTACTCTTCAAAATTTTGATCAGATTTTGTTTGGGGGGGGGGGGACTTCTTTATGTTCCTTTGAAACTAAGTTTAAAGCTGTGTAGTCATTATCCAGCGATTTTATGGCTGACCATACAGGAGAGTTTCTTAGTTGGAAAGTGCATCTTAAATTATTTTCTTGCTCTCTACAGCTTCTTAATAAGCAGACAAGTCCCCTTCCTCCTTTTATCCGTGGCAAGTACATCCTCTCAATCAAGTAGTGAAAATTAAACAATAATGTAGCATTATTCAGAGGAATAAAAACATCAATGCAACGGATTGGTTCCCTGGCTTGTTATTAATTGAAAATAATGATAATTGAAATATTTATTATATCTACCATGCCTGCAAGCTTTAATCAGTTTACAATTAAGAAGATAAAAATACTTTTAAATTGAAACAATTACCATTTAAAAAAAAAATTTGATTTGTTTAAAGAATTTCTTACACCACTGTATAAACCTATATACATACATACACATATATATATATATATATATATATATATATATATATGTTTGTATATATATCTCAGAACTATCAGATTTAGCGCACTATTTTAGAAGTTTAGATTACTGGACTATAAATAAATGTTTTTTGAAAACAATGCTAAGTATAATCAATTAGATTATTCGAACATCAATTGAAGAACATTAACTTTATAATACTAACCAGAAATTTCAAATTTTTATACTTTACTAAATTAAAATTATTGTTAAAATAATAATACAAGTTACCTTAAATTGGTTTTCCTGATTAATGGGTAATGGTAGAGACAGACTTGAAAAAGGATCAAAAGCAACACTTAAATATTCACAATGAGGGCATATAACTCTTGACTTTAACAACCCATGGAAGTTATCCACAATAATGGAGTCATTTCTTAATTTGTAGTTTTTCCAAGATTCTAATGCAAAAACCTGAAAGAAAATTTTTTTAGGAGTTAAATTGGAGGATGGAACAATAAAAAGTACTGCAAGATAAATTCATAATGAAAATAAATATTTATCAATTAATGGGAAACATATTTATGAAAACATATAACAAGTTTGCACTAATTTTCAAAAATCTACATACCGCCTTTATTTGCTAGTTCAAATTAAAAAAAAAAAATTTGAACAATGTAGTACATGATGAGTTGTACAAAAGAGTACATGATCAAGTTTAATTCTTTTTTCATTCCTACTCACACAGCAGAAATGAAAATTTTTATATTTGATAGCACTGTACACTAAAAGTTTAAGGATATCAAAATTAAATTTATTTAGTTATTTTGAATAGACTAACAATAATTTTTTATTACAGAACAAGCAGGAACAACAAAAGTTTATAATAAAAATCAATTTTTTTAATTGATTCAATATATTGTAAAATACTTTAATATGATTAACATAAGGTCAATATTATCGTACAATATCAATTAATGTACTATATATTGACAGTAATAATGATCCTCTAGAACCAGCTAAAACATGTTTCAAAACTACAGGACCAGTTTAAAGTTGTTTGAAAGTTATAATAAAAATGACCATTTAATAGCAACATTCAAGACTAGTTTGGCTAATAGGATTTTTAACTTGGGCTATCAGATAACTCACTAGCGGATCCAGGATTTAATTTTGGAGGGGGCTTCAGCACGAAGGATCTTTTTTTTCATATGTATAACGATAAGTAATTTGAAAAAATAAGAAAGAAACTAATTACCCATATGACATGGTGTCTTAATGATTCTTGAAGTCCTATTAAATGTAATTACACGAACATAATAGTTTAAGAGATAGTGTTTAATATTTTTCTCTATAAAATATGGTTATATTTTACCATTTGGGGGGGGGGGGGACTTCAGACCTAAAGCCCCCCCTCCCGTAGATCCACCTGTGAGATGACTTTAGGAAAAATAATTTATTGAGAGAGAAACACTTTATTTTCATAAAAATATAAAATATAAAAGATTGCTGCCCAATTATATTGGGTTGCTATATACACAGCATACTCTTCAATCCTTAGGACAATAGTGAACTTATATATAAATATATGAACTTATAGAACATCAAGTAACCACTAAGCTGAGGGTGAGTTAAAGTTAAAAAGCAAGCTAATAAAGACAATCTTACGTGATCTTCTTCTCCCTGGTAATCTTTGTTGGGTATGTATGGTTTGTTGGCAATTCTATTAAGATCTTCGTGCAACCCATCTAGTAGAAAAGTAAGTAATTCCTGAGCATCGTGTTGAGCACAACCACAAAATTGAGGATTGAATTTCCCAACTTGCACCTGTAATATGAGAGAAATATTTTTATTTAAAATACCTATTATATTTTATTATATACAACCAAAATCTTTTAATATATATATATATATAATGTTCTTATTTATTTATTTTTTCTCCCCTTCCTTGCCTTTTAGGCTATACGGATTTTCTCGGACCAAAGGGAGAGGGAGGGGAATTAACGACAAGTTAAATGAACCCCTTGGCACCGGGCACACACGGCACAGCACCCGGTGTGGTGCTGGGCACATACGTTAGTCCCCTTGACCACCCCACCCCCATATATATATTATTTGTATTAACACTTTAATTTTTTGATGAAGAGCTAGCTTAGTTAAAGTAGTGTGGGAGGACAGCTTGATTATCATCAGCCTCCTACCAACAAGTGTATTATTATTGTTTTCATCTCATCTCCTAGCCTTTTAAATTAATTAAAATGGTTAACAGCAAGATTCATACTGTTTGTGAGACAAGACAAAACTAAAGAAGACTAAGTAGAAAATAACCTATCAAAAATGTCTAAGTTTATTTCATATGCACTAAAATTGATAATACAGACTCAGAGAAACTGAAAGAAATTTTTTGAAATGGGCAAGCCACGATTGTGAATAGACATCGCTGACATCACCATCTATTGAGTCAAATAAAATGACAGGCCTAATGAGGGTATTACTGGGGTCATGAAAATTAAGGCAAAACTTCAAGGATTTGACGAGTTTGAAGACATTAAGGAAACTCTTCAGTCTTGTTCTCTTTTGAAAATATGGAGATTATTGAAAATTGAAACACTCCTGGAGGAACAAAATAGTAAAGTATGAAAATTAACCCAAGAAAATAACACTTTAAAAGAGAAATTAATTGAACTAGACAGCTGATTAAATTACTACAGAAGACTTCTTTTTCTCCTAGTAACCTAAGATGATCACCTTACCACTATCCTAATATCCTGCACCAATGATTATGATCCTGCCTGACAATATTCCAGTAAAACTAATAAAATCCTGACTTCCAGTCCTTATTCCCATACTTTACCATATCTATAACTTTTCATTACAAAACCACATATTCCAATATTCTTGGATCATCTTAATCTAAAAAGGTAATTATAATAATTAAAATTATAACTACATTAAATAAATAAATAAAACAAACATGGTTGAAAATATTAATAAAAAATAAAAGGATTAAAATAATACTTAATTTTTTTAATTTATTTTACAAATTTTAAGTTTCCATCCACATCTGTATATTTAATTTTCATTTTTCATTGTTTACACATAAATCTTTAGTATAACATTATCATATTATTTTCATACTGTTTTTATTTTTTTACACCATTTTTCTTATTCTTTTTTAATTAGTTATTACCTTTTTTTCATTTAAACCTGATGAAGGTCTATAACTTATGCCAAAGCAAGTTTAAGAAAATACTGCATTCTTGGGATACTAACTTAACTAAAAACAAGAAACAATTTTTAATTCGGAAAACATTTTTTTAATCAGTTCATTTCTTATATATTGGGTTGGCAAATAGGTCCTTTCGGTTTTTCTGTTTATTTTTATGTCACTATGATACACTTCTTATCTGATGGATTAATCCCTAAGGTGGATTGTTTATCCTGTTTGTAATATATCAACAACTATATCTGTTAACTAGCTTGTTGAAACTAGCTTAGTATTGTGTTTGCTATTGCACTGAGAATATGGAAGAAAATATCGAATACTTAATAGTTGACAGTTGTATTTTAGAGGAAGAAGATGGTCCGATGCGGCAGTCATAGATAGACTAAAATTTATGGGGGTGATGCCTTGACCGAATGCACCTGTCAAAATTAGTTTGCCAAATTTTATTCAGGAAATTTTGACATCAACGATGCTCAACCATTTGGTCGCCAACATGAAATTGAATTGAGCAACCTTAAGACTATTGTTAATCAAAATCCCACCCAATCAGTGCGAGAGATTGCTATGGCCCTAAATGTGTCCCACACAAGGGTAGAAAACCATTTGCACAAGCTTGACTGTGTTTCCAGGCTTAATGTTTGGGTCACAAACAAACAAGCATGTCTGTTTGTGATTCACTATGGAAACGGCAACAAAACTATCTATTTTTGAAAAGGTAGGTAACAGGAGATGAAAAATGGATATTTTATGATAATTTAGCCCGTAGAAAATCCTGTATAAAATGTAAAAAACCCGGATTGCATCCAAAGAAGATAATGGCTTCCATATGGTGGAATTTTCAGGGTTATATTTACCATGAGCTATTACCATCAGGATAAGCAATTGATTCAACTCTATACTGCTCACAATTAACAAAATTTGATCAATTAATTAACAATAAACGCACAGAACTGGCAAATCGGAAGGGTTTTGTGTTCCACCAAGACAACGCTAGGCCCCACACCTCACTGATCACTTGCAATAAATTATTTAGCCTTGGATGGGACCTTTTGCTTCACCCTCCATATTCACCAGACCTAGCTCCAAGTGACTACCACTTATTCCGGTCTCTACAGAACTCCATGAATGGAAAGAAATTCCAAAAGGAAGAGAACATCAAAAACCACTTGGATCAGTTTTTCAACAATGAACTCCAGACATTCTATGAACATGGCATTATCCAGTTAGTGAAAAGATGGGAAAAAGTCATATTAAATAATGGTCAATATATTGTAGATTAAAATAAATTTTATGTCTACAATACACTGAGTTTTATTTTATCCTAAAAAAAAAACCAAAAGGATTATTTGCCAACCCAATACATCTATAAAAGGCGATGCAAATTAAGGATAGAACATATCAAGTTGAAGGCCAAACTTTCTGAATAATATTTTCAAACTTTGGAAATAATATTTTGAAACGAATTATCTAAAATAAAAAATTAATAATAAAATAAAATCAGAGAGGGGGAAGAGATATTTATAAAATATTATTTACCTTAAAATGCAGAGGGTTAGCGGAAGAGTATCTTCCTGACCACAGATTATGAATTAGTTCTCCGTAAGATCGTGCTATTTCTCCACCCATTCCCAAAGGATTAGTCACATTCAACTCTTGTAAATGACGTCCTTCTAAGAAGTAATTAGTGACTGGAAAAGAGTTGCTGAGACACTGAAAAAAATAAATTAATATAAAAAGAAAATGGTAAAAATATAAATATAATCACCTTTAAACAGCAGACAGGAACTCATGAAATTAAAAAAAAAAACATGTTAATAATAAAATGTAACTTTGGTTTTACTAAAAAAAAAAAAAAAAAAAATATGGGATAGATATTGTTTTGCAAACAAGCCACAAACTCTTGATTGGTAGAAGGAAGATATTATAAAAGTGGTGGAAGACTTTTGGCTTTTAACCTTTTACAGTATAGGACACTGGTTGATTCATTGATTTATCTCCTTCTCTTGATTATTTTTTTTACAAGAAATAGAAGCTGTGTTTACATTTTTTTAGTGCTACTAAATGAAGGTTTTTCAAAATTCCATAAATTTCTAGGAAGATGTTACACTGAAATTGGTTGATATTTTGATTAGTGTGCATTGAAACTCTAATATGTCAACAACTGTTTTAATAGTTAATTGTTTTATTTATAGAAATTTATTTTTTCTGCTAAAAGTTTGTAATAGTTTTGTTGACATATTGATTGAATATTTATTTAATAAAATGAATTAATTAATTTACAATTTGATAAAATCATAATTTAAGCAACAGGGTTGGGGGAATGACGAAATGTTTAACATACCAACACTACAACTGGAAGTAAAAGTCCAAGCAATGAAATAATTTACAGTCTAAACAAACAAAAGAATAGTTTCAGTATTCTTGTGCAGGAGGGACACTATATAAACTGCTTCAAAAAGTTAAGTGTGACTGAGTGCAATCGGACATACAAATCACAAAATACCCTGACATAAAATATTGTGTCCACATTGATATAAGCTTGGCCAGCAGTACAAACTGAATAATGGCCTAAACTGCTATACAAACAGCCCTCTCGACCCTATACCCCAAGAGCTGGCATCTACAGAAAAGGTAAACCTAAGATTTTTCAATTCCTCTGCACCAGCAGTCAGACAGCAATAGGGGCACTCAACAACAATTACACCAGATTAAAGGTAGCTCTAGATTGCAATGCAATTCTGAATTACCTTGCTGACCTTAATAAGATAATGACTGAATGGGAACCAAGCCACTCTTAGTCTAAGAGCCAGTGCAAAAAAATCGACACTATTTGATGAAAAGTTTGAAAGCATTTTTTTGAATATTTATAACATTTATATTAAAAAAATGAGTCTGCCGATCCGATCTTGCTACCTGTAAAAATGGTGACTGATTTAAAGAATATTAGGCCAGTAACTTGAGGAAATCGGTAGTGAATAGCAATGGCTGGAAAATAGTAATGAATATATCTGTGATTTTAAATATTTCAACAATATGGGTGTTTGGGCAACTTTCCAAATTTAATTAAGGCAAGGCAAATAACTCTCATGAGTTCTTATTAGGCAACATTCGAATAATTTATGCAGTGGACTGTATTTTAATGAATTGGTAGGTCATATGAATTTTGCAAAAACTTACCCATGCGAAAACCTATGCTGGCTTAGACATCTAATTGTTACCTGAGGAGGTGTTGACTTTGGCTAGTTTGAAGATGGAATGGGCAGTCGTACTGGGAGCTGGTATGAATTAAATTTTATCGTTCAGATCTTATCTGATCTGCTCCTACCACTTGCCACAACGAGACAGTTGGGCAGTATCCTTGCACAAACATATCCCCCACCGTAAAATATCTTAATACACAAAGAAAAAAAACAACTCAGAGATTGGTGATTATCAGGCAAGGCACAAACGAGAGGAATATTGCTTGGTTTACGATAAAGATTTGATTTTTGGTTTGGAATTAATTTTTGGAAAATTAGAAATAAAGTGAGCCAGATCAAAGATAGGCTAATAAATTACAATTAATTAAAAAAAAAAATGAGTCATCATTAAACTCAAGGAGAAAAAAAATATATTCATAGCAATAAAAGGTTTTTCCAGAAGGGAGAGGCACTAACTTGTGCACCAGTCGCACCAAAGTGGCTGTAGCTGTTCATCTTAATTTTACCATCTTAACTACATTGTCAGGCCTTAGAAGTATCTCTATAATCTTGACAAGCTGCCACTCCTGCAGTGGAACATATTTTTCATGTAAATTACAAGGGTTCCCTCTTTTAAATTTTCCCTGTTAGTATACCACTTGTCGCAAGCAACAGATTGTAGAGGTATTCATTATACCATCTCTTCCAAAAAGTACGAAGAGTCTTAGAAATCATCTCCCAACGGCTTGTCAAAGGAAACACAGGTGCATCTTCTTGGTCTGGTCTAACTCGGAGGGGTTGAACTATAAGAAAGTGTCCTGGGGTGAGGTAATCCAGGTTATCCAAAGGCTGACTGCTAATATTACAGATAGAACGGGAACTGAGAAGGACTTCAACTCGTACCAGGAGAGTATAAAATTTCTCATATGTCAATGCATAATCCTGGAGAACGGTAAGAAAGTGTCTCTTACCTCATTCAAACGCTGCCACCCAAATGAAGAGATGCTAGAATAGAGATGAGCAAAGGTCCACTTTATACCCATCAGACTTAAATGGTTAGAAATGGGTTCGCTCTGGCCCTCAACAAATTGATAAAGCTCCTTCAACCTCTTGGATGCTCCAACAAAATTTGTTCTGCAGTCACTATAAATATGCGACGGCAAACCACAACTGGCAATAAATAAAGGAGTGGATAGGTCTGTCACAAGTTCTAGATGGATGGCCTTGATGGACATGCACACAAAGAGAGCTAGCCAACATTTCGATTAAGGAGCATTGCGCTAACTGGAAATCTTCATAATGAAGGGGCTGCCATAGTCTATTCCAACTCGCTGAAAAGATTGAACCTCGGTCACCCTGAAAGACCGTGAGTCACTCATTTTTGGAGCCTGTGGCTTCGCATTATTTTTGTGGCACGCAACACATTCATAAATCCAGCTTCTATCGAGTCTTTTTAGAGAAGGGATCCAAAATTGGCGATGATTGAGTGACTGGATCAACAGGGGCAACCATACAAACAATACCTGTGGTAATGGTCACACAAAAGGACTGCTAAATGAGAATCTTTAGGTATCAGCAGCGGGTGTTTACTTTTTTCTTCGATTGAGAAATACTTCAATCTACTTCTCACCCTGAGAGCTCCGTCCTTATCCAACAATGGAGTGAGCCTGTTTAAGGAACCCTTATATGATTTGCCACCTTCAAGACAATCAATTAATTCAGAGAAGAATTTCCTCTGAACGAGTCTGACATAAATTATCAAAGAATCCTTAAGATCATCAGCAGTCAAAACATCTTGCACCCGATCTCTGCAACATTTAATAAATTTTAAAATGAAAGCAAAAACCCTTTGCAGCTTCAAAAGGCTTGAATATTATTTCAGGCAAATCAACAAATCATTAGATCTTTCAGGAGCTAAAAGAGATATTGTTTTTACTTCAGGCAGAACGGATGGAGGTTCAATATGGTAAATAGGCGTGAGAAGGAGGTAACGAAATAAATGCTTGGCCGTTCCAATAAAGCTCATGGGAAAGAATCTGGTGTGGTGTGAGGCCTCTCGATAAACAATTGGATGGATTCTGTTTTGTAGGAATATAGTACCAAAAACTGGGTTCTGTTACTTCAAAAATCTGTACTATGTGTCTGGCAACCTAAATCTCAAGTTCATGAGGTCGTGTCTGTAACCAATAGATTAGGTTACGAGAATCCGAAAAACAATATACTTTCTCAATTTGCAAATGACTGTTAAGTTTACCAATACACACAAGTAGTCTAGGGGCAAGAAGAGCAGCATTTAATTCTAAACGAGGCACTGATTGAACCTTAAGTGGGGCACCTTACTTTTTGCCCTGAACAAATGAATTTTGGTAGCTTCCCCTGGGCACCCAGCTCTCAGGTAGATCACACACCCATAACCCTTCTCGGAAGCGTCTGAAAAGATAATTAGTTGAATGGATGATGCATTCTGGATGACAATGCAACGAGGCAGGCAAACATTTCTCAAGCTCAGAAATTCTTCAAGGAAAACCTTCCACAATGAAGACACACTAGAGGGCAACTCATCATCTCAAACATGACTCTGCAGATAGTCGTGACCAGTGGCCACGCGGAAGCAGGCAACTGCATCTTCTCGGAAGTTCAGCTGGAATCAGATTATCTTTCAAACACTCACAGCGTTTCCCTTCCACTTTGCCTAAGTGTGCTTTTCTTATTTCTTCCTTCACTACCATCTTTACCATTCCTGATTTACGGAGATTTTTTTATTCCTGTATCACTACTTTGAAAATATATTAATTTTTATGTTTAAGAACTATCTTAAACATGAAGAAAAATTAAAATTCTTATACTTAAGGTATCATCTGATTCTGCATCAAATGTAGAACAAATGAAAAAATTCTGGTACACGTAACCCACAACTTTCACGTATCGCTCTACTTTGAATAGAAATTATTTTCTTGCAATGTTGGGCTATCATAAAATTTTTGAAGTGCATTTTTAACCGAGCTAAAGCATAAAGCTTTCAGTTAAAAAATCATTAATACCATTAAAATAACTCTAAAAATCTTATTTATTACAGCAACGCTTGATTATGGATCGTACAATCTGTTTACTGTCTATTAGTTATTAAACTGTTATTTTCCATTGCAAAGTTTACAAAAAATGGAATTACAAGATTCACATTGCCTGTCATAGATAGACCAAAAGTTATCACACTAATTGTAAATGGATATTGTTGGGATATCACAAATGGAAAACTCATCAAATTAATCACTAATTTAATTTTCTAAAAGTTTACACAATGATATTTCGGAATAAACGGATGATATATACCTAATTATTTAAATATATTATCACATCTAGAGTTATTAAACTACAGCAAAAGTATTTAAGGTTATAAACATATCCATGAAATATTTTTATATTTTCACACAAGTACAATCTAATATTAATTTAAACAATGCCATTGCCTTGATTCGATGTATTTAAAATTTTTTTTTTTTTTCAAACTTTATGACTCATATTTTTTTGGTCACTCCATTACCTTCTACAACTATATTTATTAGATATTATTTTTTTCTAAAATTCTCCACTTTCAAACAACATATTATACGTATACCTTCTGACTATTATTTCCTGAGATTCATTTTTGACCTGGATTAGCATTTTCTTTTTTTTTCCCCTTTATTCAATTATAAAATTCTTTCAGAAGTAATAATAGGCTTTTTTCATAACTCTTAACAATGAGAGATGGTTAATTATTTGAAATAAACCAAATTAAAGGTACTTTAGAGGATGACATTTTAAACATAGGGCATTTAGGCCCTGTTTAAGTGACATCAATAGGTATAACACCTTAATGATATTAAAGATTACTTTAATTAATACATCGAGTTGAATCAAAATTGTTAGGGCCATTTTCGAAAAAATAGTAAAATGTTTAAAATCGATAATATAATGTGGCACCTCTGGCTAGCTGATTTTAAGAAAAAAGTTGCAGTCACATCTGAGCAATATACAAATCTTAAATACGTAATTTCAATTCCGTACGACTTATCGTTTTTGAGTAAGGCTGTTCACACACAGACTACTTTGCAGGACTTGATTATTTCGACTCAGGAGACTTCAAAACATGTATTTCCGTCGCAAACTCAGATTAGAAGATGTTCACGATCGCAATATTTTCCCTAACTATATATTACATATACAGGTAAGTGAAAGTAAACATTTGAAATCTCCAATTCAATAAATCCTGATTTTACATAAGCAGATAGATTTTACATACAAATCCAAAACATATAGCGGTGTGAAAAAGTCTTCGAACAAATCATATTTTTATAAAAATGGCAAATGTTTCAATTTAAAAGTGTTTTTATATTCTTAATTGTAAACTGATTTAGTGTAGCAGACATTGTAGATGTAATATATATTTAAATTAGCATTATATTCAATTAACAACAAGCCAAGACACAATCCATTGTGTTGACGTTATTTTCAAGGCCTAAATATTACTACCTTATTATTTAAATTCCACTATACTTTGTTTTAAGCTGAATGGGCAGAATTTTTTAGCAAGATAACTAAAAAAAAAAGTCGATATATTGCCATTTTTAAAAATAAGAGTAACATTACAAAAAAAAATTATGAAATATGGAATGTTAAATTAAATTTCCGAAAAGAAAAGCGGAGAATTCCAATATTAAAACAATTTTTACAGATTCATTCAGCTGCCTAGGCTCTTGATGTTAACAATGAAGAATCCAAACTGAAGTGGATAAAAAAATAATTTTAAGGTAGCAATATTCAGCTCCTGAAAATAACAACACAATGAATTGGTTTCTTGGCTTGTTTTTAAATGAAAATAATGCTAATTTAAATATATAGTTCTGATTTTTATAAAATTTAATAAATAGACGGGGAGTGAGGTAGCTCAGTGGTAGTTAACTAACCAACTAGCAGGCCTTAAAAATGGATAAGGTCAATCCAACAAGCCTACTAAAATTTGGGGATATGACAAAAGCAATGTTTTAATATAAAAAAGCATATGACACACAACAAGCCTACCAAGGTGACAGTGAATTACAAGATTTAAAAAAATACTCTGACCATTTTAGATTTTTAATGTTCTACTTACTGCTAAAAAATAGTAGTTTTAGAATTTGTTAAAAAACATGGTCCAATATAAAATAACTATATTAAATAACACTATCTTGTCTTCTTTCCTAATATTTACAGTAAAGATCATTATAATTTTTAACATAAATAAATGGAGTTTTAGAACATATATCTATTAATTTTTGAGTAGCTAATACAAATAAGTTTTTTTAAAAATTATAATTACAAATGTTTCGGAGTTCACTTATCTGGGATCTGTAGTTACTCAGGATAATAACCCTAATATTGAGATGTGAAGAAGGATCATAGCGGCAAACAGGTAATTGCCAATTGATCAAGCTCCACCTCTACAAGAAATAGGTGTGCCCCATACTTCTTTATTGATCGGAATGTTGGAAAAATTCGAAGGCCACTCAAAAGGAACTCCTTATTTTTGAAAGAAAAGTTCTCCATTCAGTTTTTGGGGAGTGAAAGTTGGAGAGGAGTGGAAGTAGTACACGGACCAGGAGCTTTACAATGCTTTCAGAGAAGCTGACGTGAAAGCAATGAAGTTGAGGCGTTTAAGATATGCAGGGAATATTGTCAGAATGGCGGATGAAGAAATGGCCAAAATATTGCATGCACAGCCAATCTACAGAACAAGAAGAGGGAGACCAAGGCTGAGAAGGTAGAATGGTGTGGCAGGAGGAATTGCCTCCATATAGCTTCCTGGCAAGCTTCCCCATACATGCCAGGACAGCATGCTGGGAGTTAGGAACTGGACGGCGTCGGCACAGGACCTGTAACCGGATTGTAGTGCCGTGAAATAATAATAATAATAATTACAAATGTACCTGTAGAACGCTATTCATATAGCAGGTATTGCCCAGGTTATAAAGTCCACAAATTCCAGGCTTAAATGTACCTTCAGGATAGATTGTAGCACGAGTTGTTCTCGGGGACATCAGAGACGTTTGTGTTCCCCTGTTTGTTTAACAACAAAATTACATTAATTTCAAAATAAATTAATAATATAAAACAAAATATTAGGTTGACCAAAATGTATCAGATTAGTCTGTATAAGATGATTACAATATTTAAGAGGTCCTGCATTATCTTATATTATACTATTAATTTACTCATAAATTATATTATTCAGTAAATATGTTAGCTGAGTTAAGGTAGTTTACACTTTCTTACTTTTAATGAGAAAATATAACACATAGTCAAAGAAACTTGGAATAACTGGGATCCCTAAAAACCCTACAAGAAAATGAGATACAGGACGGAGTCAGGGTCGATATGAGAGGAAAGAAATGAAGAGGACATGAAAACTGGAGATCAACTAGATGGTGAGGATTACCATCCAACTGATGGATAACATCTCTGGTGAATGGTGTTACATGCACATAAAAAATTACTAAGACTGTCCTTGTTAAGCAAAGTAGTTAAAGGTATGGGCTTTCCTTTGCTCGTGGAGGAAGCTAATGAGCAGATGGAGCAGTAAAAAAGAACATTGACAAGATTGTCTGAAGAGAAAGGAAAAACTATAACCTTATTACAACAGACTATGTGCTACCTCCCGATTCATTAAAGGAATGGACTTACAGCTAAAAACTACTTTAAATTCTAGATAATCCACATATGAACACAACTCCGATCAGTCGGTTATAATATGCTGTATTTTATATAAAATTTTGAATTGGTGTAAAATAAAGAGTAAATCACGACTTAAAAATCCTTATTTATTAATATAAACCAAATTTCAATTTCAATTAAAAATCGAGCTTAAACTACTTTTTAAAAAAAAACTATTTATTCAAGATATTTACAACTGTATTACAATATAAATACATCAAGTAAATGTGTACACAAGAATATAATAACTTGAAAACGTTTGTTGAGAAACTACCCACAGGTAGCACTCTAATAATGTGTCTACATAAGGAGATCATGAGGCCATCTTCTTTTCAGATGCCTAGGGGGGTTAAACTACTTAAAACTATTTAATTTATGTGTGTTATCACAATAAATTGATGCTATGATTAAGCAAGTAAAAAATAAATTTAAATTTAAATTCACTTTAAATCCATTTTTATTCAGAACTTCTCTGTAAACAATATGTTCTTTTTGAATGTTCTGTTATTGTTTAGTGCATAGCCTTGCCCATTGCCATTGAAAATATAAATTTCAATATTTTAAATGAATGTGCTCTACTTGCTGCCACATATAATTGTCCATGCGAAATTACTGGACGTCGCAATAATACACACATTTTTCCAAAACTTTGACTATGCGATTTTATTATGGTCATAGCAAATGCAGTTATTAATAAGAACGTTGTTCTTTGAAAGTCGAATGTCAGAAAATGTTAAATTAATTCTTGGAATTAAAATTCTTTAATTTAAAGTAGCCCCCGTTAGTACTTCACTCTCATTCGGGTTTGATTAACTAATGCTTGTGCAGTATTCAAGTTAAGAATGAGCACAATTATTGAATTTACTTAGAACATTCCAATAACATTCAATGATATCATATCTTCAAATAATAGTCCCGATTACTTCATTAAATGTGAAATTTTCGATTTAACAAAAAACAAAATAATGGAAATCGACTTTGTAAAATAAAACATACTAAATGTTTAAAATTATATATCTCTGCAACAAATAGTTATAATTCGGATGATTTTTTAATTTTATTTTATAGGAAATCAAGAAAGCTTTCAAATAAATGCTGGTATTATCGATAAAAAATGTGTACTTTGTGAGTTATTTGCAAGTAAAATACTGAATTCATCATAAACATTTATGCAGCTTGTTTTCGGGAAAGTATGTTATGCAGATGAATTATAAAGGTTTCCAGGGGAAGACTTTAGCAAAGTTTCATTGAAATCGTTGAAGCCTAATTGGCGCTACAGTCTAAAGCGAATCACGTTTTTCGGCCGTCATTTCGAAAGGAAAGGTCTGATGACAATGAAACGTATACAAAAACACTTCTAAATATTATTGCGACGTTGTGTCAAAATTTAAAAGAAATCGGTGAAGAACTTTCGGAGATTAGCCGTTTTGAACAAACTACCATCCCCACATATATTATTACAGTAAGGCTCAAAATCGGTTTTGTACCAAATATAAGCTCCTGTCATGCTCCAATACCATGAATGGGGTACCGTTGGATTCAGAATTTCACGGGGGGTTAGCGAATCTTATTCTCCACTTTTGTTTTTCTTTCAAAAATAAATAAAGTTGATAAAAACATTTTGCTAGGCTTCAATACTGGAACGGTGGTAGGCCTGTAGATCGATACGGGACAAATTGGATCTTGAAGATTTTGATGCGTACAGCAAGACCTGGATAGTTCCACCTGAACTATTGGATCCTGCGTTTTTAAGCCCAAAAACGTACTATTTTCAAGATAATGCAAGGCATAGGGTTCGCATCCATACAGCCTTACATTAATTGTGGTACTGTCATTGAATACATGTCTCATTTCGTCAACTTGAGGTCTCTATGATCGAGAGAGGAGGAGTTTATATTATTTATCGATGGTGTTTTTGATCGGCAAGCCATATCATCGTTAATTCTTCACCTAATCTCAAGATTGAGCCACCAATTTCGAAGTTTTCCTTCTCCTTCAGCCGGGCAAAATAGTCCAATCACCTCGAAAATCGAGGCAAACAAGTTACAAACTTTATTTGCGAATAACTGAAAAATTACACTTTTCCCTTGGTTATGCCCTTGATTGTATAAAAGATTACTAAATTCCCTACAAAAGGAAAAAAAAAAATCATCAAAATCGGACTACTTTTAACAAAGATACAGCTTACTGAAATTTGTGAACATATTGGTTCCAAACAAAAATGAAGATTTAAATTAATTTTTGTTTTCTTTGTCGATTATATGTATCAATAAAGTAACATTTGATTTCTTTATCTTTTGATACCTTGCATTATTTTATTTTCTTATTAATTTGGCATTTGATAACAACATGCTGTGTGAATTTTTCGCATGGGCCTACTAGTTTATATTTTTATTTACATACTATTTCATATTTTTATTTATTGATAACACTAAAGCTCGTCAATAGCTATTAAACAAAAAAAGAAAAAAGGAAATCAGTTGAATAATAGAGGAGTAAAAGGGGCTGAACCGTTTTGTGTTTGCCTATTTATATGATTCTGAGATGCACCCCTCCAATTTTACGTAATGTTGTTCTTATAACCTTCTCCAGTGCTAAATTAAAAAACATCGGTGAAAGTCCATTAGTACTTCTCCCTGACGTAAGCCATTTTGAACTTAGAAGGCTTCAGATACTTATCCTTATATTAGTTATAGAGATTTAGGATTATTTATATGTGCCTTGAATGTATATTATACATTCCTAAAAGGGAATTTACCTTGACAGACAGCATACATTGTCAGCTTTAATTTTATATAGATCATCACCGCTAGAATGTATAGTTTTCCTGATGTGAGAACCAGAGAGTGGAAAACTGATAAAAATGAACTTACAAATTTTTTACGTGAAATCCGGTATGGAGTAACTGACCATTGTTTCATGTTTTAGGATGGTAAATGCTATAAACCTAAATGGTTTGTAGCTTTACAACTTCCAGTTAAACAAAAATGTTCCTGGTTCTCTATCTATAAAGAGAATCCTTATACTGCCATTTCTGAAACCTGGAGGAAGAAAAATGTAGGACCAACGATCTCCATTTGGATAACAAGGACACACAGAACTATGGATTAGGCCAAGGATTGGATATTCACAGGGAGATTGCCTCTTTAATATACGCATAATACTATGCACAATGATACACTGATGACATTGCTATCCTGATAGGAATAATATCGAAGTTATTTCTCAAAACTACTAAAATCAGCAATAAATATCTTGGTGGATGAGTGTGGAGTCAATGGGTTAAATATGAACTCAAACAAGGTTTATGTCTCCATTTCGATTAAAAAGAAAAAATTGGTAATAAGATTACCTATTACAAATTAATGGTATCCAACTAGCCCCAAGTAAGGTGGAAGAATTTCTAAGATTAACTATGGATCACAAATTGAATTGGAAGAATCATGTAACACAACTAAAAAAGCTCTCAAATCCCTATTGGCAAGTTTAAGTGCTGTGGGAAAACTCTGGGGCAAAAATCACGCATGGTTTATTGGATATATATCACAAGATATATATTAGACCAATGATACATTCAGCTGCTCTTTGATGTAACAGAGTTAGAATTGGTTTCAACAGGATTTTACTTAATAAACTAGAAAGATTAACCTGTAAAATAACTACTCCAATGGTTGCAACCGAAGTACTGTCAAAAGGTCACAATTTTTGGATTTCCGCTTATCTCGAAAACAGTACATCACAGGGGGAAATTTTTCTTACAGTAAATTAAAGTTTATAAAATTATCTAAAGCTTTTATTTTATAGGTTTTATACGAATTCTAAACTGTTTTTGAGCAACACGCTCGAAAAAAGATGACACTTTCGAAAAAAATCATTTCACTTCATATTTTTCATCAAATATTCCTTCATATCGTCTAAGATATTCATTTAAAAGAAGTTGTAGAGCCTTAAATTCCCTATTATAATATATATATATGCAAATTAATCTCCAACCAGTCTATAGTTACAACTATTTTAAAATTGTTCATAAAATGTGGTCATTTTCAGAAAAAGTTGATTTTATCATATTTTTGAACCACAAAGTTTGTATGCGTGTCCATACATATATGTGTGACCAAACTTTAAATCCAATTATTAAATAAAGTAGAAAAAAATTGTAATTTTTTTGTTATTTATTTAATGAAATTTACAACTGTATAAATAATACAACAAGTGAAAATGCACACATCAGAAATAATGACATAAACAGACTTGAAGAGATACTGCCCACTGATATCACTCCCTATTTAATTCTAGGTAAGAAGATCACAAGGCTGGATTCAAGTGGATTCGGATGGGACTGGAGT